ACAGCATTGCATTTGCAACACAGAAACCTGAGAGGCTTACTTTCTGAATGAATTCAATGTAATGAAGAGCGCCATGTTTAAACTGAGTTCCACCACCTGGAAAAGTAAGGTATCCACCAGTAACTTTGACCCAGTTTTGATGACCCTTAAATTCCACAAGCTTTGTGTGAGGAGCATTGTTGTACCATATCTGCAATAGGCACCAAAACATTGAATTTCAAATTGTAAGTATCAACATGTGGCTTTCATCCAGTTTATGTATTGCATACCATTTCCCTGCTTTTGGGCCACTTGATTGGGCTTCTATAGCCCTCAGGCAGAGAAACAAGACAAGTGGTAGCTTCATCAGGACAGTGCCTCTCACGATGTTCATAGTGCTTTATGCTTTTAAGCTTTCTAATTGCTTTCCAATTGTCAAGACAAGGAATGTACTCAGATCCTGTAGTTGTGTTGCAAAGTTTCCAGTCATATCTGCTTTCAAAAGAAATCAAAGACTTCTGTGATTCCTTCTCATGCTGTGATTCTGCAGCTTGAGTTGACCATGTTCCACTTTCTGTGCTAGTTTCAATCAAAGATTCAGATGGTGTACCACTTTCTTTTGAAGCTGGACTATTTTCATGGATTTCTGTGTTACTCTCTCCAGTAGTACTATGTGTTGTCTCTGAATGCAGACTTTTCTTGATTTTCTCCTCCTCAGTCTCACGAACCATCTCATCCATTGTCCCTAATTTGTTATCATTTGCACTCTTGTCAGATCCTTTTTCATCTAAAGTTTCCATTGATCCTCTGAGTTCATCATCATGAATTTGACCATTCAAAGTTTTTGTTTCTGCAGATTCAGAATTTAAGGTTCCATCTGATTCTTTCCCCTTCTCGTCAGTGTTTGGCTCCACATGTTTCATTTGATCATTCTCCTCAATAGTATTCCCAGGACCCTTCTCCAAATCATTATTTTCATCCAAGTTGTCCCTAACAACGTCCTGGTTTTCTTCAGCCATATTATCAAATACTTTTTCAATTCTCTTTTGGTCATCCTGGTTTTCTGGATGGCTGTCACTCTGAGATTTATGAGTCTGGCTATCTCGCCCTGTTGATTCTTCTAGCATATCACCAGATTTGTCTTCAAATTGCTTTGAATCACTTGCTACATTCTTAACATCATTAATGGTCTCAGATACCTGAATGACTGAATTCTGAATTGGAACAATGGATGACATTATAATCCATACACCAACTAAACAACATGCAACAAACACAGCTATAGAAACCGTTGAACAGTAGTTTGACAACTTCCTCCCCTCGCCTCGTGAATTCTTCCCCAGCACCATCTTTGTTAATTACTGTTATTTTAAGATAAACGCACCTGGAAAAGGGAACAATGATGTATTACTAAATCTATTAAAAAATATACTGTAACTCGGCTAAATGCTGATGCTTTCTTTATTTAAAAAAAAAAATCATGGAAAATAACTTGCCAGAAGAACATAAATTGAAAGGAAAATCATGTAACTTTACTATATTATTCAAATAAATAAAGACAACAATAGTATGAAACCCAAACGCCTAACCCTACAGGGCAACAAATGTTCTTCTGAATTTCCTATTTGAAGGTTGAAGAAGGGAGAAAAAACATAGATCAACAGTTTTAGCGTCTCCAGCACTCAAAAAAGGTAGAAATAAGGCATTATCAAAAATCAGAGTAGCAAAGTTTCAAACAATGAGGATAAAGAACATGAAATAAGACAGAAAGAGAGAAATTGACAAGTAGCTACTTAATATTAGCAACCAAACATGATAGAGCTTTACAGAAGCGTAATGTTCCATACTCTCTTTTTTTTCAAAAAGAAAAAAAAAAATCAAACTTTCATGAATAAAGGATAAACTTTCATCAAGAAAAATCAAAATTTTCTCCCACCCAGTGAAGGAATATTTCACACGAGGATGCGAGCAAATGGAGGGGAAAAAAAAAATCTAGTGCAAAGTCCAATAATCGCTTAACCCAGAACACCCGTCATGGGAAAATCCAATTGAAATTGAAAATGCCAAAAAAAAAAACCCAAAACGTCATTGAGATGAGGTCCCCTAATGAGGAAAATGAAGGTCACAGTTCAAGAGAAAAGCAGTTAAGATAAAGCATCAGCTTTTAACTCAATTTCCCCAAAAAAACACACACCCACATAAGCACGTTTTTAGCATATGCTTCAGAAAAAGCAATATCATGAAAACACAGATACAAGGTCATGAGATCCTACCATGGAAGGAAAGGAAGCAAAATGCAAAACAAAGGAAAGAGTGGGAAGTATATACCTAAGTAGAGCACATTTACAGTTATGCTATTGCTGGAGACACAACTGAGGTGAAAGAGAGTGATGTTTTTGTGAAAGGAGGAGCTTGATTTTGAAGAGGAAGAGAGGGAAGCTCCTAAACGATGTCACTGTGTGTGCTAATGAGTAAGAAAATGAGGTTTGATAGAACACAGTGAACGTGTGTGCTAACTAAAATGTCGAGCTGGCTGTTTGTCGGTCAGTATTTGACTATGAAGAACACAGTTGACCTGTAAATCATTCATCGCTGATGGTTATGTGACTTGTTGGTTCTAATTCAACTTGATGCCAATTCCAACAACTTAGGTGTAAATTAAGGAAAAAATTTTGTCATGGTCATTTTCTCTTGTTTGGGACAAAATTAGTTAAATAATCAGTTCCCTTAAAGGCTTAAACACAACCTTCCAAATATCCCTTTTCTTTTAAAACAAGACTAAGAATACGCTAAATTATTGGTATGGGTGGTTTATGATAGACCAAATTATTTATTATAGATTGATGAAATTCTCATAATTATATGATACAATTTTCATGCTAGATTTTATCTTCTCAATTTCTCCCACAGTCACGACCTTCCCATTCAATAAGAGGAAATAATTTTTTTTTGAAGTTCAAACATGATAGACAATTTTTTCAAATATAGAAATGCTAAAATGGTGATATTAAAAATTGAAACCATGTAATTAAAGAACTTGAGGCCCTTTTGCTCAAAATAATACATGTTACTGATCTGTAAATTAGCTACTCTCCAAACTCAAAGGTCAAAGGAAGTAAAATGTTTATTTAGTAATGTTTTTTTTTTTTTTCGTTTTAAATTGGACTATTGGCCTAATGTGGTGGGCTATTTTAGCTCAAAGTATTGATAGTTTAAATTGGAGGTGTTGATCACAGCCAATGTTTATTTCTAAGATACATTTATAGTGAGTAGATTATATATTAGACAAGAATAAAGTTATTGTATTATTATACTAAGACAGAAAATGACAAGAAGTTTAACTCATTTTAAAGTCTTATAAATATAATTAAAAGTCATTATAACAAGTAAGAATTTATTATATATTATCAGTAAATATTTATGCTTTATTCATAATATACTCATTCTTTGTTCACAATTTCTTCGGCTAAGGAATAGGCAACAAATGATAAAGGATAAGATTTAAGAGATAATTCTATAAAAAAAAATTATGGGATAATAGTAGTTATTTGAAGTTGTAACAAACTTTTGTGTCTATCTATTAGGTGTATCATGTTAGGTTGTAATCCTTTGCCTTATCTGATTCCTTGACTTTATCTTTTGTAATCATAAGTTGTTATTGTAAATTGTATTTAAATCGACCACCATCAATGAGAATGCATCTCTATCACATTTTCATCTTGGTATTAGAACCTTATATTTTTCTTTCCACCATGGAAAACATAGACTCAACCCCTCACAAAAATTCCCTTCCTACATTTTGTTCTGCCAATTTGAAAAGAGACGATTACAAATTGTGGAGGTCCTTGGTGCTACCATTGCTTAAAGGGAAAAAATTTGCTTATTACATCCTTGAAATCAAGAAATATCATGAAGAATTTATCACCAATGAAGACAATGAGATATCTAACTCAGGTTTGGACTAGATAACAACCGGTCAACAATTACTTATTTCTTAACTAATTCTATTAGCATAAAAAAAAATCTTAGACATTGGTTCCTGTGAAAGCATGCCTTGATTAATGTCAACAAGAATTTAGTCAAAGTCAACAATTTCATTTTGTATATACTATTTTCAAAATCATATCAATAAAAATATTAGTTTACTAATCATTCATTCAATCATGACTATATTTTAATCAAAATGTAATAATCAGATACATATTTAATAATAAAATATTTTAAATTATACTTTAAAAGATAAGACATAAATGTAATTCCTTAAGTAATTTTAACGTAATTCTACTATTAGAATCGGGGTTTCAGTTTAATAATTATGTAATAATGATTTATATTAAAAGTTAACATAAATTATTAAGGTAAATTCAAATTTTGATAATAAAACAACACCAAAAATACATATGATACTACATTTAAGTTTTGTCCTAAAGTAATACATATTATGTTTTATAAAGACAAAAGAATAGAATTAATAATATAGGCTGAGACAATGTAACTCAAAACTAATATAACATATTGTTCTATTTTATTCTCATTGATTTTGATCCTTTTAAGGAATTAAAATATATTATTTTTTTAAAATAGTAGTCATACTCAGAAGAACAATCTTTTCAAGGAATTAAACTATATTATTTTTTTAAAATAGTTGTCATACTCAAATTAAACAAGATTATTTGTTGGTTACGAGAAATAATTATACTTCCTATTTATAGAAAAAGAAAATAATAAACCCAATTTGTTATCACCTCCTATTAGATTTTGGAGGTTTTTTTTTTTTAATAAGCTGGATTATTAAATTGAGTTGTCAACTACAAATTTGGACCTTAATAATAAGAGTAACTTAAAGGCCTCAAGCATATACGGATTGCTGAACACCGAACTGATGACCCATGTAATGCCACGTCACTACATTATCCACATGTTATCGAAAATTTGAGCTGTATGATGGCGTGGCACAACGTTCAATTCCATTCTCAAATCATGTATTTGTCTGTGTTTAAATTATATTATAAATTTCGGTTTTAATTTTCTATAATTCATTAAAAAAAATCGTGTGGAAGGAATGGAGTGAAGGAGATTTTCGAGTGTGGGGTCTGAATCACAGTCCACACGAACCTCCAAAGCAAGAACACCAATTTTCCCACATCACTTTACTCTCTCTTTCCTTCTCCAACGCTGTTTTTCTCACAAGGCTTGAGAAGGAGAGAATGGTGGCCTGTGAAACATGAAGAGGAGCACTGTGTTATGCATCTCCAATGGCATGTCATTGTGCTTACAATGCCTTTTCATTTTCACCAATAAGAGAATTCTTCACCTCCAACCACGTCATGTCAAAGCCATCCACTAGATGCAGACCCTTTATCTTGTCCATCACTAATGCCACACCATCCTACAACACCCTTGTTTCTGAGGTGCCACTCTCATGTATTCAGTGTTATCTGCTTGCATTTTTTATTTAATGGTAGCATAAGGGTAATTTTTTGTTTTTTTTTTTTTTTTGCTATGGATATTTACATGTTTAATGTGACTAGTTTTGTAGGCTTTTAAAGTCGTGAATTTACATGTTTAATGTCCTGTCTATATGCTGTTGTTGTTGTATACTTGTATCTCATGACATCAGGGGTATTTTTATTGTTTCTTCTTCTGGTCTCTTAGTGATATTTCAGCATACAATGTACCATTGAAGTTTTAATTGTTCATAATGTCATGTAACAAGCGTATACAGGTCATAGAATATACTTATCCATCAATTGCATGTTTCAAGAATATATTGAAAGAAATATGTAGTTCAAATGATGCAGAAACATTGGCCTTGTAGTTCAAATGAAGTCCAAGCTTTTACATTCAATGAGACATAGCCTTGTTCTTATGTCAGATTTATAGCATGAATTGTGTAAGGTGAACTTTGGATATGGCAGATGTAGATCTATCTCTTTCTCTGAAAAAATTCCAGCCCCAAACTGTAATGATTTGTCCTGTTTCCAAAAGGTGAAAAGAATTGCGAGTACCACATTGACTTCTAGATAATAACCCTGCTGGATCTTGAAGCTATCATAAATATATAATAGTCACCTTGAGATTATGAACAAGATTTCGAGGAATAACTTCATTTGACTATATACTCTATCATCCCTTTAATGCTCTCATTCCACTTCTTGGTTTTCTAGAAGGACAAAATTTATCTACTCAGAATTTGGGTTTTATCTCAGTAATCTATGTTAATATTTAATTTAATCCTTTGTTATGTAGATTATTGAAAGTAAAACTCTAATTCCAATTGAAGAAAATACCAAAAGTATTTAAGAAACTACATCTAAGTTTGTCCTTTCTAAAATGACAAATAATTTGAAATAAACTAATACTTCAAAAGCAACAATTACTTTGAAGCTAGGGGAGTATGCAAACCTGAACTCAACTCCCAAGACCCATCATTGTGTTTTGCCCATCTTAATGATAAAGTAGGAAATTGAAATTCTTAGCCCAGATACAAGAGAAAGTCCTCATTTCCTATGATTCATTTATTTGAATTCCTTATTACTCAATACTCATGTGAAAATGGAATTTTACTTCCTGTATCTCACTTCCTGATCTGAAGACATATTAAGATTATACCCATAAAAGATTTTGACTTTTGTTAGCATATTGCAATTGCATTCTTTATCTTGAATTCTTGGTTCTGCTATCACTAAATTATGGATAAACCTCTTCAATGTGTGTTCTAGCTTCCAGTTCCAATTTACACAATTAAAATTCGTTATCTTGATTCATGCACAAACCCAATATGCTTATGAGATAACTATTTGCGATTTGAGATCCATCCAAATGATTGCTCACAGTAGTCAATGATTGTTATCTGGAATGTAGAGAACACCATATACCTTCCCTCTCTTTCTTGAATTCAGTTGAAGCTTACAACTTTGGATATCTTTGTCTCGTATGGAAGTATAAAAAAATTATTATTTGATGTGTAATAAGTATCACTGATATTCCTTGTATAAGAGGGTTTTTTTATTTATAATTTATTTAGGCTGTTAGGCTCTTGGTTCCTTCAGCAAGATTTGAAGCTTCAAAACTGAAGGTTGTTCTATTGGAAGATCAGATAAACAAACATGCAAGTATTATTCCAAGAACCTACATTCTATCCCATTGTGACTTTACAGCAAATCTAACTTTAGCTGTCTCCAATGTGATCAACCTAGAGCAGGTTTGTGTCCTTATTTTGAGTTTAATGGTCATGCACTGATCGTACAAAATAGTTTTATACTGTCAGCTAATCAAATATCACAATTGGTATGACATTTTACTTATTTATTATAAAAGTCAACAACTTACTATAAATGATGACTTGTGATTGAATAACAGTGTAAAATTACTTAACATTGTCAATGCATCATCTATTTTCCCCATAATTTTTGCATTCTTAGGTTAGAAACTAGTGCCTAAAGCTTATTTTGAAAGAAAAAAAAAACATTAGTTTTATTTATGCATATTTTATGTATATTATTCCTTCTGTGACTGGCAGTTGAGAGGGTGGTACCAGAAGGATGATGTTGTAGCTGAATGGAAGAAAGTGCAAAATGATATGTGCCTACATGTTCATTGCTTTGTTAGTGGTCCCAATTCCTTCCTCGATCTGGCTGCTGAATTGAGATATCACATATTCTCCAAGGAAATGCCTTTGGTATGCTTGCATTTAACTTATCAAACACAAAATTCTGAATTCTAGGGCTGGTCTAAGTATTATGCATGACAATCTCCTAAAAAACTTTACATACGAGTATTTTGTGAGGGGGTGTGGTGGGTGAACTTTTCCTTGCCAAAGTTTGTCGTTGTTCAAAATGGATATAAAAGCTTATGAAGAAGGTTTACAATGAAATGATATGGGAAAATAAAAATGATAGGTTGTCTCCAAAACTTCCACTTCAAGTTCAACCTTGTGCAGCTTGTGTTCTATCTGATATAATTCGCAAATTGTTGCTCCAATTGAAAATAAGTAGTGAATTCTTGTGGAGCTTTTGTTTCCTGAATATCATGTCTATATCCTTGTTTTAAAATTCTCATCTCGTTTGTTGCTATGTTATTGTATTATTAATTGACAAGGATGAGTCTCTCATTGTCCTAAGGTGTATTTCTATGCCTTTTTATATGACGCGTGGTTTGATTGTTGACTTGAGTATGCCAGGTACTGAAAGCAATTCATTGTGGAGATTCTGCACTTTTCCGTGAGCATCCTGAGTTGCTGGATTCTACAGTTAGAGTATATTTTCATTCTAGCTCACCAAAATATAACAGAATGGAATGTTGGGGACCTCTCAAGGATGCAATGGAGGTAAAATTAAGAAATGAACAAACAATGATTTGGATTAGTAATTTTACTTGTTTGCTTAGAAGTTAGAACACAATTTCTATCATCAAGATTTCTATAGATTCTAAACAAAATAAACTCTACTCATACAAAAGAAAGAAAAAAAAATTGTTATTTGTTACCAACATCACACAGCAAATGTAAATAGAAAGCCAAGAATTCAAAATATAAATGAATAACAGATATAAACATTATAATGCTATGAACATTTGTCACCTTTTCCGTTTCATGAAAACACATTCATAACATTTGTGATTTTTCTTTTCTAATATTGTCTTCAGGGAAAACAACAGGATCAGTTCCAAGGGTCAATAAGCAGAGATTGTCCTGAAAAGTGGCGTAGCCCAAAGTCCATCTTCCAAGCTCTTTTTGCTTTTCTTCTTTGAAATATATGAATAAATTAGATTATTTGTTTCTATCCCAATTCCTCCCACAGCTCAGAATTTCAGGTGATTCAGACAAAGAAAAATTCAGCTTGCAAAAATGAACTAATCCCGAAAAGAAACTAAAAAAGTTTGGGAAGACCCAGAACCAAAAGAAAAATGTGAAGTTGCACAAAAGCATATTCTTGTGCCTCCAAGGCAATTTGCTTTTATGATTTCTGTGACTAATTGACATGAATGTGTTGCCTCTCTCTAACTCTCTTGTCAGGTGCCCAACAAACTATCTTCGTCATTAAATTTTAAAATTAAATAATTATTCGCGGGTAATTTTTAACATTGAATATATCTCATTAAAGTATGATTAAATTGTATATGCTTTGTGATATATGGTAAATTTATTGACTTATAGTAATTATCTTTAAGGTTAAACTAATTTTTTGTTGTTGATAGTATTATGTAATTTACACCGACAATGTATAGAAATTAAAATTTTGAAATATTTTGTCATAAGTGAAAAAAATTATCTATCATTATGATTTGTGAATTTGGCAACAGTATAAAAAAAATTCATGTTGTCTTTAATAATTTAGAACATACATTCATGAGACCACAGGAATTCTAAGAATCCCACCCAAAAAAAAAAAAAAAAAAGGAAACAAGAAGAAAACTTCTTTATTTTTGTTGAATTAAGGTTTTCCTTCTGATAGATAATAAAATGTTAAGAAGATTTAAGATATGACTAATTTTGTCATAAATCATCTAATAACTTTTATATATTTACTTTTTGGAGAATGAATTCTCAAGAAAGATTTTTACTTGGATTCTTTCCATTGAAAATCTCTTCATTAAAACTTTATACTTTCTTTTTTATTACTCAAATCTTCTCTCTCTTATTTTTATTAAAGGTTGAAATTTCACCGGACAGAATTATTGATTAAGACTTATATAAGTACAAAAAGAGCAAGAGCTCCCAAGCCAGAGAATATCCTCTAGGCTCCCAAGTTCCAACAACTAACACTCGTAAATGTGACCCCCTATTCCTCACTTATACTAAGGGGCTAAGGGTCCCAATTTCTGGGGCCTTCGAGTGTAGACCCGTAATGGCTTTTCTAATGAAGCTTGTTGTTGGTTCCTAACAAATATCATATAAAAGGATTCAAATCTATACTTTTTGAAACGGGTAAGGGTTGATTGCAAAGGTTATTGCGGAATTTTTTAAATATAAGAATGGCATACTTTATAGCTAAGTTATAAGATACTTTCATAAGATATCCTAAAAAATTTATTGAAATAGGTTTAAAAGAGGGTGGATAAGTAAATTATTTTGTAAGTTCTTCTAAACACTTATACAAGTGTTTATCATAATATAATTTCAAATAAATTGTAAATAAGTTTTTCCTAACTAATGGTATGTTTGGATTACCATTCCTTAACTGCTAAACGTGCTTTTAAATAAGGCTATTTTTGCATTTTTTGCTCCAAAACTACTTTACTGTATAAACTGTAAACTGTAAATCCAATCTTATGCAGAATTTACAAGTACCCCCCACCCCCCCTCGCGAAATTGAAATTCTGTAGTGATGGTGACAGTACATTACTCTTAACTCACACTAACTTTCTTGAAAGTAGACGATATAAACAAGGTCCAAGAATGAAATGCATTGTGAACTATATATACTATACACGTTTTGTGCTTGGGAAAAAGCCCTCACAATAATAAATTAAGTTAGTACGAAAATAGGTGCGCTTGCATGAACCTAGCTATTATCGGCAGTTTATAAGCACAAATAGAAAATTGTTATGAATGGCACGGACCACGAAAGTTCCTATTCTAACTTTATAGTTAACACAGCACATCTTATATTCATATATATGCATTAACACTTAACCTCTCTTGCAAACCCACTCTCACTCTCATTATCTAATAACTCATTCTCATGGAAAAGAAAATGGGAATGAGATCAGTGTATCGAAGTAGGCCAGCACCATACAAGATCAACAGAAAAGGCTCATCCCCTGCTAGTCGTAGAGGAAGCATCAAGAGGAAAATATTCATCTTCATGTGTGAAAAGATTAAGCAACGCATCCTTGGTTACCTGGTCAGCTAAACTTAGCGAGCCATTCTCTTTGTTTATGAATTTTTATAAACAAATACTACGTATGTGTCATAAATCATAATCCAGTAGCCATCATGTATCAAAATACGTCACATTACATATTTAATTAACTGCGTCATGTGTGTGTAATGAAACATGTAATATTTCTTACTCAATAAATGGAGTTGTTTCGTATTTTCATGCATTTCAAATTAACGTAGATGTGTCATGTACTAGCCTTTCTTTGGGAAATTGATGAAAGGGAAATGGAAATAGGACATTGGCCTTAACGTTGTGTGTCGGGGCTGGATATAGGCCCAGGTATGTGTGCACTAAAACGGACAAATTAGTAGCGCACTAAAACATTATGTGAATGCTATTGCGATACGAAGGTTCGTCCAGTACCAACTGCAAGAAAGTGTTATATTGAAAAAGTATTCTGTTGTTATAAAATTGGTGATTGGCCATGGAAATGTATAAGAAACGAATTTTTAACTTGACTTAGTGGGTGTTTGAGTATGCGTTTCTGATCAACTGATCCACCTTTAAAGCAGAAAAACTATTTGACTTCTTTCATTTCAATTACGCATATAGTGTGTAAGGTGCCACTCGACTCAAACCAAACACGCTATTAAACAAATAAAACATTTTGTCAAAAAATAATCATCCTCCAATAATTCTTTTTTCTTTTAATTTTGTGGCTTCCTCAATAACGAATTAGTTCATTGATGAATCAAATTTACGGTGTCTAGTCCGTAGGTTGCACCCTAGGCCCTACTCCGTATCAAAAGGTTTGCAGGATCTAGCGGCTTTTTCAGTGACCACTTCTGACCAAGGATAATTCTATAATTTCTATGCAACTTTTCTCGATTCTCTGGGCAAGGAAGCAGACACTGATAAAAGCATCATCCTGGTCTGGTTTGACAGTCACGTCACCGGCTACAACTGTTTACTATATATAATGTCCATGCTATCTTACAATCTTTTGGGCTACATTCCTTCTGATTTGTCGATCATCAACTAGGGTCAGAGCAGTTCGACCTCGACCTGTGCAAGAGCATAGAATTGCCCATGCAATAACTACCAACTCCCCTTTTGCGACCCGCAAATTTTAAGAGACTGATGGTTAAAAGAATCTGATATTATTGAAAACATAAGCCAACAATATAAACAATATACATGAATATACGCAATATATGTAAGTACACGCATGGCCAATTCAAATCCGAAGGGTTCTACACAACCACAAAACGGTCGTCTCAGTGATCTGAAGAAAAACGTGACAAACGACATTCATAATCTGTACCGGTATATATAAGCAAAACAAACACAATATATTAATATGACCTATTGGGTTTGGAAGAAGATGAGGTTTTGGATTTTGCAAAATCAACAAGATCTTTGAAAAGGGCATCTTCTGGCTTCTGTTGTTTGGTTGGGGTGGATGAATTCAGGGAGAGATTTTGAGTTTGTCCCACCAAGCTGTCATAAGAGGAACTGGATCCACTACTTGAATGAGATGTACCTTGTTGCTCAAAAAACTGTTGTCTTTGATTATACTTTGAAGGTGGGGGTGGAATGATGCCAGGACCAGGAGATTGCGAGTCCCAGGGAGCTGGAGGCAGATGCTCTGAAGATTTGTCCACGGAAGATGGCTGTTCATCATACACAGGCTGGCTGCTAAAAATTGGTGATGAAGTATTCACAGCAGGAGGACGAGATGAAGACTGTGATGGAACAGTTGATGAGGTTGGATTAGGGCTGGAATGAAGGGGACCGGCAAATGAAGGGGGTTCTGAGTTTTCGGAAGATCCTTCTGCCTTGTATGCATCACCACTGAGATAGTCAACCATGCCGGTCCCAGAGTAGACTGGCTTCCTTGATGCTGGTGGTGGGGGAATAAGTGGGTTTATCCTCCCTGGTTCTGCCTTGTCATAGGCTGGTTTCCGATTTTGTGCAAGAGTATCACGTGATGACCTGAAATCATGGTATTTAAATGTTTATTAAACTGAAAAGAAAGAGAAAAAGGCAAGGGGGAATAGAGGATCTCTTCTCATATTAGGGGAAATAATGAACATGTATAAACTAAAGAGCATCAATGATTAAATGAAAATATGTCAAGCCTTTAACTCCCCCAACCCCCACACAATCATGCTCAATTAGAGAGATGAAGTAACTATCATCAGGATTCAACGTTATGTTACACAGGAACTTTTGGGGTTCACCTGTGGGCTAGTTGAGCAAAATCATCTTCTGATTCATCATCTTCAGGGTTTACATTTACAAGTGGAAGAACTGGAGTTTCTGCTTCTCTAGCACCTGAATCAGAATTTCCTTTTACAATATCATCATGTCGACTGAGTACTCGCTGAAGGCTGTCATTCAATGTCAATCCCTGACCTAAAAGCTGCTCATCCCTGAAAGTGAAGTAACCATTGGTCATTCTTTGTAATTGCACAAAGAGACATAGTAATTAAAGAAAAAAAAAGCTTACGTAGTATTGTTCACAAGAAGCATGACCCGCTTTTGGTATGAACGGCACTGGTCAACAAGGTCAACAATCACTTCCTCCTTCACACCCTGACATATTTTGCCAGAATATTAAGAAACAAATGAATAATGACAACTTGCCATGATAGTTTTACACCGAACTAACAAGTTAATATCACAGCCACCAAAGGCACCGAATTTTAATTATATCATAGTTTTGCATTTGGAAGGAACATTTTCAAATTTTCATTCACCCAATCATGTTCGGACTCTAATGCCCCAAACATTTGGTTAGCTATTCTTGAACCTCAACTAAATACAATGTGTATTCAGAACATTAGAGTAAGCAACAGCTAATATATTATGACTTGAAATAAGAAAAGGGGGAGGGTTTAACAATCAGGGATCTATTCCAAGCTATGAATGTAACGCAAAAGTCTTTTCATTCTTCTGGATGATGAGAAGAGCTGTGCTTGATCTTTACACAATGACTAGATTACTATAACTTATAAGCAACTTGATATTAGGCCCACAAAGAATTTTGTAAATCATGAATGATCTTTGATGTTGGGGCAGGAAATTTGATATCCGTGGCCAAAGATTGAATAGAAAGAAGGAAAAATAACTAGAAAACGCTGTAGTCACACAAAAAACATATAGGAGTCTCACC